CTTATCTACTAAGGTATGAAGACCAAGATGGTGTAGCCTTTAATGTGGTCGCAGCCCTTTTCGTTGTATAGAGGTTAATTGACCTTGTCTTCGCAACTTGGTCATATTGGTAGGAAGACTTAGAGGGACACACCTAGTCCGGGGTCCATTATATGCATGATCATTTCCAAAGTCGGACCGTGGACGTGGTACATTCCCAGACGTTTCGCCGGCATTGTCAGTGAGTCTCGCCATTCTTAGGACTACAAAGCAACGCATCAGAGATAAGTGAAGCCGATCCTTTGACCAAACGTGTACTAAACAGTTATGGTATCTCCCCTTCTGCCCTGGGCTATCCAAATTTTATATATCCTCTTATTACGCCTTCAGTGTTACAATTTTACCGTGCTTATTTAGATTTAGTGTGTTGTGATCTTTTGAGCGGCTTCCATGAGAACCCTCCACACTCCACGCTGGCGTTCTCACGCCTCTTCACCCTTGTGCTGGGAATGTTGATCAGAGTCTGCCATATTGTTACGCAGTCCTCCTTCCCTAGGTCTTATCATAGTCTCTCTCTTGCCCCGTAAGATTCGTCTGCTCTCTCCCTGGTTCACGTATTTCACTCGACACCTGCCACCCCATCTGTGCTACTCTTGGCGTTATTCGCCTTCCCCTGTGTCTGGGTGATTAATTCGAGGCTAAAGCCTCTGAGTAAATCTCATCGTCAAGCCTTTGCTACATGGACCACATCTTTAGTAAAACCTACTGTCAGCCAACGTGTGGCAAAGGCTTGACGATGAGACTTATTAAGAGGCTTTAGCCCCGAATTAGTCACCCAGGCGCAGGAGAGGGCGAATGGCGCCTCGAGTTGCACAGATAGGGTTACAGGAGTCGAGTAAAATACGTGAATCAGAGAGAGAGAGATAACAGACGAATCTTACGGGGCAAGAGAGATACTGAAATAAGACCCAGGGAAGGAGGATGGCGTAACAATATGACAGACTATTATCTACAAAATTCAATCACTCATTAAATTAGTATTAAGGGATCAGCAATCTATATTACTTATGTCCATGTCTATAATTCAATCTTACCATTAATCTAACTGCTTTTTTATCTTTATTATGAGGCTTAATAAACACGTTGAGCCTACTCATTATAACAACTCGCTCGTGAAATCACATAATTCGGTGCACAAATGTGAGATACTTTTAAGCCCTTTTTTGTTTTTCCTTATTCTTCTCTCGGCTTCTCTCTCTGCCCTTCCGCTCCTGTCTTGGTCGTCAGTTGCTGATCTTCCCGGTTTAGTTGAGGGAGCAGCCGAAAATAACCGAGGCCTAGGAGCTGAGTTCCTCAGTCTCGTTGAGGGCTGTCCCATCCTTGCTTACGTAATTGACATTGGCAGCCAGGCTGCCTATTTGGAGGCTGAGTTCATGGCTCTTCTCCCTACAGATAAAGCTCCTTTCTCACCTAGGTAATTTCTTTTTTAATTCCGTCTTCAATCTTCGATTTTTTATTTTATCACATTTGCTGCAATTTCATTTTCACTTAATCTCTCCATAGCTTTCATCCGTCTGTCGATTTCGATTATCAATGAAACAGTACTAAGTTTAGAAGTGGGTTGACCTCGTTGTCGCAACTTGG